ATAGAAGCAAGCCTTCAGAAAGTAAAATGAACAGCTAGTCGTTCTCAGCGAACTCCTTCGCGTCAATGCTTTCTTTAACCATTTGAAAGTTAGGTATGCTATTTTATTTTATTTCGTGTTTTTACAGTTTAAGAAAATTATCTGATATAATTTTTCCTTCAGGGAACGATTTTTCTTCATTTAATCATTTTATTTATCTAGAGAAACACGAATAGTTCTCGGAACTTGTGCGAACAAGTTCTCATTTTGAATCAATCGCTTCGCACCAAGGTTTTTAACAATCGAATGAAAGTTAAGTATGAATTTTACATATCCAGAAAATCATTTCAAAGCTTATTTTATATATGAAAAGATCTTCTTTTTTTTATGATCGTCTTATTTATCTAGATAAACAAGCAGACCGTTAGAAAGTGTTATGAACAGAGGCTCATTCGCAATTAATTGATCTATGTCAATGGCTTCATAGGCTCACTTACAGTTACGTATCATTATTCATTTTATTTTTGTTTTTTACATATCCAGAGAATTATGTGAAGTTTTTTTGTACATTAAAGGTTTTATTTTCATTTAATTATTCTATTTATTTAGATAAAGAAGCGAACGTACGGAAACTAGTATGAATATGTGCTCATTCTCAATGGATTGCTTTACGTCAAAGATTTCTCCGATCCACTAAAAGTTAAGTATGATGTTTTATTTCATCTCGTTTGATTAATATCAAAAATAAGTGGAAGGTTGTGTTCCTATGTGAAAAGATTCCTTTATATATTAATTTTATCTATCCATTCAAACAAGGTAAACTTTCTAACTCATCACGAAAACATCTACATTCACAATTAATTGGTAGACATCAGTGCTTTCTCTAATCGGTTGAAGATGAAGCGTCAGTTCTTTTACAAGATTATGTTTGGTTCATAAGAAAATTATAGACACGCATTTGTTTCTTTAAGGTGATGGAGTTTTTTTCGCGCTTGATACATATCGGTTAGTGAACAAAACTGTGTAAAATTTGGGTAACTAGTTGTACTTTACAGTCGATGACTGCGGAATGATACTTCTTGTTTTCAAACAGAATAAGATGAGTATATTTTTTTCTAGTTGAGGTTTTTTTTATAGAGAAGCTATAAACTATTTCGTAAGGTGCTGACGTTATTTTTCATATGTGAGGCGTTGATCGGGGCGAAGGAGAGAAAGAAACAATGGATTGGCTGGGTTCTGTGTATCTTTTTTGATGATAAGTAGCCGTCGTATCAGTGAGGCGAGGGCTTCTACTAAAGTTTCCCAGCGAAGGAGCAGTAGCATTATGTAGTTGAGAATAGCATTTCATTTGTAAAATTTAAGTTTCGATGAACGTGCATACGATTTATATATTCAGACGAGATACTTGATAACTTGAGTGCTTTATAAGACGTTATTAATACTTCGATTCTTGCTCACTTTTTAATAATTTTTCTTTTTGATCTTTAGGTTCGATCTCTTTTATCGATTAATGGAATTACGATCATGGATTCAATAGAAAGGTTTCACGTATGGGTGAGTGGCAATTACTTTGAACTTTTAGATGTGTTTCATAATTTACGTCAGTGATTGTTGTCAATTGGTAGTCACAATGTACTGATTTATAGTAAGTTTTCAATTTAATCAGAGTTTTTTGAAGAGGAAATCGTCATCTATTAATAACTCATGCTTTTTTGTTTAGATTTCGTCAAACAAAATCTTCAAAGTGAATACAGAATGTGCTGAACTTCAAATGCTATTTGCTTAATATTTTATGTGAGAACATGGTAAACGATCAACATCAATTAAAGTGAGTAAACGTTTTCGTGTGACATCACAGAGAATTCATCTGAAGCAACCACTTAAAATCATTCCTCCAAGTTACGTACTCCTCAGTTTATGGTGATTTACCTATCCTGGTTGTATTGATTAGTCACTGCTAGAAAGAGATTCGTACGATTCCTTTTAATCATCTTGATTTTTATCTTTATTGATCATGCTAGATTTTGATTCTCGATCGAATTATCTTCAGGTTTTCTAGTTTCGCTCGTTTCTTAGTTAGTCAATATTGGATTCTAAGACATGATCGAGTAAGAGTTTCGTCAAATAGAAAGCTCAAAACGTAGAGAAAATAACGGATGTGGTTTCTTCCAGCCTCTGGGACTCTACCATCCTTTTGTTAATTATTATGAAATGCTATAGATAGCAAGGGTTAGATACATACAATTATGAAAACTACAAATTAATTCTGCATATCTGTTTTCATAGACATCTGTCGCCCATCGACCAAGGTGAAAAAAGCATCTATTCAGTCATTCTCCGACCCCTGAAGACAGTTCGTGGTACTCTTGAATCACTCTATATATCCTAACATTCAACCTGAAAGCGATATTTGAGACTAAGAACATCTTTCACATACCTTATCATAAACCCTTGAGGCAGTGGATGAGGTTAATAATCGCTTTCATATACCTTATCATAAACCCTTGAGGCAGTTGATGAAGTTCAGAATCGATTTCATATACCTTATCATAAACCCTTGGAGCGGTTGATGAGGTTCAGAATCGGTTTCATATACCTTATCACAAGCCCTTGAGGCAGTTGATGAGGTTCAGAATCGGTTTCACATACCTTATCATAAACCCTTGAGGCAGTTGATAAAGTTCAGAATCGATTTCATATACCTTATCATAAACCCTTGGAGCGGTTGTTGAGGTTCAGAATCGGTTTCATATACCTTATTATAAACCCTTGAGGCAGTTGATGAGGTTCAGAATCGATTTCACATGCCTTATCATAAACCCTTGAGGCAGTTGATGGGGTTAATAATCGGTTTCATATACCCTATCACAAACGCCGTCGACCATTCATGATGCCCATAAACGCTTTCCAATATCGTTTCTGAGAGAGGCTCACGGGTATAGTATTTTAATCAACCCTTTTTAGACTGAGTTTCAAAGGTTTTATAAGAACGTTTATGTTAATTATCAATCCGTTTCAGGGGTTTATGAAAGTGCAACGTGTCGCAATCCCTTTAAGGATTTATGAATCTTATCAACCCTTCAATAAACCTTCCAGAAAGAATATTTAACGTTAATAAACTCCGTATTAAACCATTTTTAGAGGGTTTATAACAGGGTTTATGACTCGTTGATAAACGGTTGAAAAGGGTTTGCTACACGTTGCACTTTCATAAACCCTTTTTTCGTTTTTTATTCTACGATTTTTTTTTACAGTGTTTGCAAAAATCATGCTGTTTGATATACTTTTTTTTAGTAATGCAATATGCTTCCACTAAGACTCCTCGATTGTATGCTCTAAGTATTGTCAATCAGATCTCTTTTAATCATGATTTACTGTTACTTAAAATACTCTATTTTCAAGTTCTCTCATGCTTTCTTGTTTGTAATTCTTTTCGATTTTTATGTTAGGGACCATGTATACGTACTTGTTAATTGATATTGAAGTATGTAAGTTTTGTTGTGTGTTCTTGCCATTAGTTTTGCTTTATATTTTATAATGGATGAAATTAGTTACTTTTTTGTCACGTATTCATTTTTCAATGAATCATAACATTTTTATCAAATAGGTAGTTATTTTTGCAACACCTCTCTCATTATTGCTTGTTTTTCATTTTTTTCTCTATCTATTACATTTTCTGTATTTCAGGCTATTTTTAGAGGAACATATACAATGATATTTGCATACGAGAACGAACTACATTAAGGATATGAGTTGAACGACATTTGATACCCACAATCACATCTACAATTGTACCCATCCTATAAAATATTGTGATTAATTCGATGAAGTCTTATTGAGCAAATTCTACGTCAATTCAAATACATTCTTTGTGTTTAGTCGAAAGACGATTAACTATTAACATAGAATTCGGTACAGTCTTTCTTTTTCAATCTTATCTTGGAAAGGTATATAGAATTTGGTAATTCAAAACGAGTCAACTTTCAAGATTGATTGTTGTATTGAAGACATTAAAAAATTCAAATCTTATTTCTAATTTCATGTAACGAGTGCAGCAGAATAAATGACCGATTCGTATTCTGTTGATATTTTATTCTCTAATCATCGCAACTCTCTTTATGCAATGTTTACAGATTATTAATAGAAGTAGTATACTATTAATGAGTCATATTAGTATATTGATCAAGCCTTTCTTAGTGAATAGAATTATACAAATGAATCAATATTGTTTTGTCATAAAGAAAGAATCAAAAGTTATTTCAAAATTTTGCTGTTGAAAAATAATGAAATAAACTTGAAGTAAAGCAAGTGACATTTAAGAATCTCTTATGATTCTATTCTTTTTATAGTTTTGTGGGATATAATTTCATTTGTGTCCATTGTTTATAAAAAACACATTAAACTGGAAAAATGCAAGGTTTTTGTTCTTTTTTAAATATGCCAGAAAAAAATACATTGCATAGAATTTTCTGCAAAATCATTTTATTCTTGTTATGATTATACTAAGATTGTTGACAGAAATTTTGTAAATATCATCTCTCATTGGTCTCCATAGAAACAACTTCAATGATGATAAGTAAGATGAAGTTCCTTATTCGATTTACTTCTTATTCAGCTTAGACGAAAGATGTTATATAAATCATTATGCTTGCTGAAAGATACCAAAATCATAAACATCTTGATAGAAATGATGCCAACACTTCGAATGAATCTGAGTATTGTCATTTTAAACTTGATTCTGTTTTATGTGACATAAAACTAGTCTTAATTTAGTTTTTGTATTTTATTGGATTCTAAATACTTTGCATACGAAGCTCATATGTAAATTTTGATGGACAGAGAATAATTTAAGTATGAACATTAAAATAGATTTTTATAGTAGTGTACAATATAGAAACACAAAGCAACAACGGTTATAAAAACCAAACTACGTAGAAATATAGTTGTACAATAAAGAAATAATTGATTCCATAATAAAAAAAAACATTAAGTCTAAAATATTTATTTTTAAGTATTGTTTATTATGGTTGTGTATTTAATGTATTCAGTGCAGTAACAGTTTGTGTTTGAGCTGCAACTCGTTGATTATTTGTTTTACATGTAATCATTGCGAAAAACTCTTGTCGAAACTCATCAAATGTAATCATATACAATGGAAATGATAATACATGATAACTATAAAGAAATCCATCTAATAAATTCAAAACAAAAGAACTTGCTGTAGAAAAGGATGCATAACCTATAGTAGCTGGTATAGTCATAATTATGAATAGAGATGTTGTAATAACTAATGTAATTGAAATAGATCGATGTTGAATGCGTGAATTTTGAATAGTACTTGTTGTTTGAAGACGAATTAAATAATAAATCACACCAGTTTTAAATGTAACCATTAATATAAATGGTACACAATTGTATACTCCTAAATTGACGTAATCCCATGTTGGATAGATACGATATGCCCAAGATTAAACACTAATTGTACCATTGGGTCCATAATAGCAAACAACAATAAAAATATGAAAATTGAACAAAAGAAGAATGATCATAATGCATGCAATTATAATGAGAATAATCTTCGATTTACCAAACCATGTTCGATGAAGACTACTTAATGATAAATATCGATCCAAAGATATAAAGACACGAAGCCAAGCTGATGATTGAGCAGCAAAATAGTTAAGAAATGAGAAAAATTTACAAAGAGGTATTGTACGTTCTGAGAAACTAAATCCATGTATGGAAGATACATAATGATCAATAATCCATCCACATAACATAAGAATATCAAAAACAGCCATTGCTCGCATATTATGAAGTACAGGTATTGGTTTTTGTATTTCTGAATGTTGATCGACAGAGAATAAAAAATGTTAGAAGGTTAAAGACAGTACCAATAACTGTTACTGTCAGGGAAAAATGAGCCACAATAAACAGTTCATAGGATAGAGTACTTACTGTTGTTATGGATATGCTACTATTATTTGCCATTGTAGAAAGAAATAATTCTTTAACAATCTTTTCGCAAAGGAACTATTATTATGTGCAGATGTAGACTAAGATATGTCAATCTATCGAGTTCTGTAAATTTGCTTTATATAAATAGTACGCCATTGCTTGATTAGAAAATTTATTTCGCTTCTATTATTTTCTATTCCTAAGATTATAAATAAAAACACCAACTGAGAGCAAAAATATAATAAATATCCGATTAAGAAAAAAGAAAAAGATGGTATGTTCTTTTTGATTAGATTTAACAATAATTCTCCGGGCATACACTTTTACGATGTGTGAACTAAATATTCATTCTTCAGTATAATAAGCTTCATCACAAACTCCGGAAATCAATGGGTAGGAGTGGCTGTGGGTGTTAGCGGTCTCTTCAACTATGCCCATACCCACACCCGACACCCACCCACGCCCTCACGCCCACGCCCACACTCACATCCACCCACACCCGCACCCACCCACACCCACACCCACATCCACACCTACCCCCACACCCATACCCACACCCACACCCACACCCGACACCCCACACCCACACCTACACCACACCCACCCTTTGGCCCGTTAAAACCCAATGTTCCTTCCAAGGGACATTTTCTTCATGATATTATAATACATCAAGAAATAGATTAACAAATTCAGAGATGGTCTCATTTGATAGCCTGATACTATGCCTTGCAATGCCACTCAAAAAACCAGACTTTCACACTGTATTTATGAATCTGCAAAAGTTTTAAGATAAAAAAAATGACATTCAAAAAGTATGTCTCAAGAAGTTTATTGTTTCGTCTAACAGGTACTCAAGACTGATCTGTTTCTATTTTCATGACCTATCAGATTAACTTAGTCCAAGAAAACACTCAGTCTTGTATATGAAGTTTTATTATATGCTTTATTGAGATTTTACCAATGTCCCTTGGAAGGGACATTGGACTTTTAAGGGTTAAACGAGCTACAGAAATACTCTCATACTAATATAATTATAGTATTGTTATGTAATAGTACTATGCATATCTATAATCTATTTTAATATAAATTTTTTAGGAAAAATAAAATTTTATTAATAGAAAAATCTCATAACTAAGTACAATTCAAAAGAATATGTTACAAAATATTTTGTTTGTTAGTTTTATAGACAAAAGAAATTAATTTTTTTCAATAAAAATTTATTTTCGATTATTATTTATTTATTTAATTCTACCATTTAAATTATTTTATCATTTCATCTTGAATGATTAAATACAATTATTAGATCTAATTCAATTCTTATATAAATAAACAATTCATGATACTTATCGAATTAGAATATCATATAATATATAAAGAACTAATAAACATAAATATATATATCATCTCATTATACATTTATTTGTCAAATTAATAAATACATGTTTTTTTTATTTAATCATCTTTTAATTAAACTATTCTCTTATATATAAATAATTAAATAATAAGTTAATACAGTTAACAAAAGATTTTTCAAAAAAAAAAGAACTTTTTGTACAACATCTGATTTTTTTTCTATCAAGTAATAATAACAAAAAAAAAAGTTCATATTGATGATAAGATGCTATAAATAACATCTAATATTTGTGTATTCTTTTGTAACCATTGATCTTCTTGTTCTTCCATATTTTCAAATAAAACACTAGATGGTTTTGAAAATTTCCATGATTTACCATCATAGATTATTAATTGCCAATTGATTCCTGTTGTTAAGAATCCATACACTATCTTGTTGTCATTATTTATATCCCATGTAGATTTCAATATCCATAACAACTGAATAAGTCTTTTTTCCAATGAACCAGATTTAGGTTCGACGACGAGTAAATAACGATTGTTTTCAACATTGTTTGTTGTTTGAACTATAACAAATTCCATGTTTTTATCAAATTGTTTGTTCTTACTAGGTATTTGTTGCTTTCGTAATAACATTAAATCATTACGTTTAAAATAAGAAACAATGACCTGTAAAATAATTCCGACGTTGTCTATTATAACCAATTCATTATTTGAAGATATTGTTGCTTCTGGATATCCTTCTGATAAAATACAATCAATAAATCGATCAAATATTTTTTCCTTGAGTTTTTTTGGTGCTGTTCTTGTAATAAATTCTTCGATTGGCATTTGATTATTATAAAATTCATGAAATTTAAATCCAAGTAATGATTCTACTTGTTGTTGAGAAAGATTTGAAAATGAAGGCATTAATTTTGTTTGATAATTTGAAGATAATTCGATATGAGCCATTTTATATTAATCTAAAGAATATAAAAGATTAATGTGTCAATTGAAATAGAATTTTATTTTCAATATTACAATTACTATTTGTATTATAAATTTCGTCTTAAACTCAATAAGATAATAATATTCTTGATTATGATTATCAATGAGATATGTTTCTCGTTTTTTATATCAAAAATAAACAATGCTCAGTCAATTAATTACGAGAAAGAAAGAAACAAAGAAACAAACGTCACTTTTATAATCAATTGCATATCGGTATAGACCAATAATTTTAACTAGTGATAAAAGAGGGCGTCAATATCTAATAAATTGCAATCATCTTCTTATATAGACACAAATGTTCTTATGTAATCTGATCTGATTAAATTTTAGAATTACAAATCTTAGTTTTCTTGTTTATTTTTGATTAAATATCTTTGATTTCATTGTAAGATGTGTCAATTCAATGTATGTTATTTTGAATATAGAATTTGAACATATTATCATTATATAAGAGAATTGAAGATGCGTGATTTTGGTACTGTTTGTTTAACGTAATTCAACAAGTTAAAAAGAAAAATGAAAATCAAGAATTTGATTTACAAAAAAACATTTATATATGATTTATGATTAACATATTTAAATATAGAAATTCTAGTTATCGTTTGAAACAATTTGACTTATAATCTTATAAAATAAATTGTTACTTTTGATTGAGATAATTGTTAATTAGTTATTTGAAATGATAGACTGTTATAGAATAGGTTTTACATGTTCTATTCTACTCTCAAGACAAGACATCTAAATTGGATATGCTTTAATAAGGAAAATCAAAAAAATCTTTATAAAAAAGTATGTTATTGTTTACAAATTTATAATTCATATTTTATTAGTGTCATATCGAAAAAATGTCGTAATTAAACTTAAGATATTTTTAAAAAGTATAAATGAACAAAAAGACAGTGGGTTTATAAAAGCTTGTAAACGATCGAATTTTAATGGATTTGTTCTTTTTAAAAGATGATTGAAATATGACAATTTTTCATTGGATAATTTAATTTTGAACCATTCTTAATGACAATAAGAATCCATGACATAGCTAGGAATTTTTGAGTAATGGACCGTTTACTAGCTAAATTATTTTGAAGAGGGGGCAATAATTAGCAATTAAAACTCAAGTGGACCAGATTTCTTTTAGACTTATTACCATAAGAAAATCTATGTTTATTGAAGAGAAGTTCACTTTTCAAAAGTAAGAGTCGAGATTGTGCATTTTTTGTAGTGTTTCTCGAAGATATTCTTTTACTTAAATTACTTTAATCGTTTCTGTTCAATATAATTTTATATAATCAGAAAGGTTGATAAGTATTCATTGACGTTTTTTATTTTCGAATTTAATTGAAATAAGGAGTGTATTGATGAAAAAATATTGTTGAATTCTCATTATCATGATTATCAAGTTAGTGTAAAAATCACCAACTGATTTGTCTCCAAATCATTTAATTAGATCAGAACAAGGAACAATGTAATGTATGTGTCATAAATGATGACATCATTTATATTTATTATAGTTTTGTCTAGGTTCCTCATGATGATGTTAGAATTAAAGGAGACAGTGAGGAATATCCGAAGTTAGCCAAAACTAAGGGAAGTGAAGTTTTTTGCATTAAATCTGATATTAATCTTTGTTTTGAAACATAAAATTTGATAATTTTTCTCGAAGCGAAAACTTTTCTGAGCCTAATAAAAAATTCTTTATTTTCTTATTTATTTAAAAGGGAAAAGTGTTGCCATAAATCTCAGCAGTTTGGTTGCCGAAAGTGCTCACACTACTGATGACTGCTCGAAAATGAAGTTGATCAGAAGATAGAAAGGATTGATATTGCTATAAAGACAAAAGGATCATATATCTTTTTAGGATCAGTATACTCCTGTGATTACTTCTTCCCTAAACGAAAAACTTTTACATATCAGAATTTTCGAGCAAAAATCATCATTTAAGCCAAGATTTTCAGTAAAAAATTAGCTGAGTTCTTCAACTTGCCACAGAACTTCATATTTTTCACTGATATTTCGACGATAGTTTTCGATTGTTCAGAGATGTTCATCTCGCCACTCTTCTTTCTGGTCGAGACACTCCTAGGAGATGCCACGAAAATAGCTTTTATAGAGTACTTTGTAAGTTAAAAAAAAATATGATCTGTTTTTCTGGCTAACAGAAAATAAATTTTGATTATTTCGACGGAGGTGTACACCTATTCACTTTTGCAGAATTTGCTTTTATCTTTGTTCTAAATTGCATATATTAAATTTTCGATCAGAAAATTTTTCCATTTAATTTTCGATAAATAGATACCTTTCAATGAATGAATATGTTAATGTTTAATTTTTAATACTTGACATAAATGGTACAGCAAGCTATAACAATTTTCTAAAATCTACAGAGAACATGAGCACAATCTGCATTCGATAATTTGAAGAAATTCACTCGGTGTTTTGTTCGTATATGAACTGAACATGTATCAACGAAAAATCTCAACAATTATACGAATAAAAACAGTATGTGAAGAAGTTTTCAAGTTCCGCGATTTTGAGTAGATTTTAGAAAATTGTTGTAATTTTCTCTACAATGTACGTATGTTAATCGATAAAAATTAAACAAGAATATATTTATTTATTGAAATATATCGTTTTGTCAAGAATTCAATGGAGAATCTTATAATAGAAAACTTAATTCATGCAACTAGGAAAAAAAGACAAAAGTAAATAATATCAACGATGTCAGTATTTACGTTGCGCCCGTTATTAGTAGAGCACTATTTATATCTTCGAACATGCAGATATATCAAGATTTTTCAGAATTAGACAATTAGTAATATCTTTAAAAAAACATTGGACAATAACTTTTGAATTATTGAGCAATTGCCCAATGGTCGGTCTTACTCCTGGCTACGTCATTGAAGATGCCGTCTCTTTTTTGCAACTATTTAAGGTTTTGACGTCTTTTTTTTAGGTATTGTACGTTTGACGAAAACACACTCATATCTTTGTTCTATTTACATCGGAAATCAGCTGTACCTATTTGAATTAGAGATGAACACCGATCGGAGCTTTAGTGTTTGAACCGAGCCAGACTCGAGAGTAATTTGACAAGGGCCGAACCAGAGGTGTCCACAGAACAGGGCAAACCTGCCACTGTCCTGTATCCTGCCTTGTCCTGTGACAGGACAGGACGGCGATTTTATAAAATGCCCTGCTCTGCCACAGGGCAGAACAGGGCGATATCTCTGTGCCCTGCAAATTTCACATACACGAGATTTTGTTTGGAAATATGAGCGCTTTGGTTTGTCTCGGTAATGTGAAGAAAGGAATAACAAATACAGATAGCATTATCAAATAGTACATAAGACTGTCCTATTTCTACAGCAAACATAAAGTCCAATCAAAATATTTCAAAGAAACGAAAAAAAAATAAGGAAATCATAACTATGAACATATATTTTAATGTCTGGTCAAAGTGTCATTGGTCATCGAGTCGACCATAGTTAGTCGTTGATATTTTGAGCTTGATAAAATCCAAAATGAACGGATCAAACTCTCCCGAAAAACCAATCTATTGTCCCCGTTAGTGAAGTGTGTGATCATTAAAATCACGATCACGATCACGATCACGATCACGATCACGATCACGATCACGATCACGGTCACGATCACGATCACGCGTGATCGTGCGTGATCAGAAATTTTTTTGGTGATCGTGGTCTTGATCGTGACTGATAAACGATCTTCTTCGTGATCGTGATCGTGATCAAAAATATCAATCACGCACGTCACTAACGTACACAATCAATTAAGCATCTGTTAATTTTTTCAACGGCATTACTTTTTTTGTAACACTGATTGTAACCTAATCAATTATTTTCTATTATGGTATTACTTGGTTCAATTTTCTTTTTCAAAAAATTGGTTCGGGATAGGTACGACTTCATTTTTGGAAAACCGATTCGAGTTCGGTTCATTTTCGCTGTTGGTCACAAAACGATGGCACGCTGAATGGTGAAAAATTGCTCTTATGCTTCCAAATGAAATGTAACATTCGTGATCGTGATCGTGATTTTGAGTCAATAAGACTCGTGATCGTGATCGTGATCGTGATGTGGATTCGAAAAAATTCGTGATCGTGACGGTGATCGTGATTCCAATGGAAATAAGATTCGTGATCATGATCCAGGATCGTGTTTTATTCATGATCGTGATCGTGATGAAAAATATGAATCACGCACGTCACTAGCCCCCGTATTCCCATGTAAAAAAAGCACGGAAAAAATCAAATTTTAATCGATTTTTTCGTGATTAAAAATCGATTAAAATGAGACAATTTTAATCAGATTTCTTGATTTTTAATCAATTTTGATAATATTAACGGAAAAATGGGTTTTTCTCGAGTTTTAGCCGAGAAATCATAGCTTTTTATTGGTTTTTCGGACTCCTCCCGTCGACAAATAGTAGGTACAACACCAAACCAATCTCGGACAGACATCCCTGAGCTCGCGAGATAACAACGATCTGTGTTTACACATTCTTTGGTTATCGTGATTAAAAAGGATTCAAAATTAAATAATCAATTAAAATCCATTAAAATCGATTAAAAGTCAAGAAATCTGATTAAAACTGATTGAAAATCAAGAATCTGATTAAAATCGTGCCATTTTAATCGATTTTTGATCACAAAAAAATCGATTAAAACCCCATTATCTAAATTTTTGGTACAGGGCTTGTAGTAAAAAGCGTATTGATTTCTGATGTCAATCTGTTCTCGAAATATCTTCAAAACTAGCGCCAACTATAAAAAAGTTTTATTATAATATCTCTAGAACCACCTTTCATGGGAAACTACATCAAAGATATTTAATATCAGAAAAATTAAATTGATTTTGTAAAAATTTTATCCAATATTTAGAGTTTCATCAAACTAACAAGAAAATGTAGTCAACTGCCATTTTTCGCTTCACTTCATATGTTGTCAGACCACATACTACTTCTAATTGTTAGTCGTCTTCTTGTTAGTTTAGTTCACCAAATAAAAATAAAATTATCCAAACACCATCAGTATCTGCTGATTTACATCTCAATATTTTTTCTTTCCCTTCTATTGGCGTTACAAAAAGACTATCAAGCCAGAAGAAGTAGACAAACTTTTGTTCGTAAGATCCCTCGAAAACAAATACAAAAAGATTAAAAACACTCTTTCTTTAATAGTTTTCTCTCTTATTTCTAATTCAATATTATTTGTTTTAGTTATGCTTCTTTTTTTCTTGAATTACTTCACAAATCAAAAAAACAGCACTGAAACTTATATATAAACACTAATATTCTTTTGCTCTGCAGGGCGTCCTGCCCTGTGCTTCAGGACAGGGCAGGGCGGGATCCGGACAGTTGCTCGCTGGACAGTTGCGCGCGGACAGTTGCTCACTAGGACATTTGCTCGCTAGGACACTTGCTCGGTAGGGCACTTGCTCGTAAAAATGTTTCGAAGCAAATATCTGTATGAGATATGGGTGTGGGTGGGTGTGGATGTGGATGTCTAGTGTGGATGGGTGTGCGTTTGCGTGTGTATGTGCGTGGGGTGCGTAGGTGGGTGTGGATCGGCGTGCGTGTGGGTGTGGGGTCGATGACTGAATGAACTTATGCGAACACCCACACCCCATATCCATACCCACATTAACATCCACACCAACAACCACGCCCCCATCCACACATACCCACACCCACACCCACACCCACACCTACACCCACACCCACACCCACACACACCCAGCCACAGTCACAACCACACCCACCCACACCCCACTCCGAGCCACACCCTCAAAATCGCATATATTCAATGAGTTTTATGTAAATAAGTGTTACATAAAAGCTAGACATACATTTCTAATACACATTAGAAAAGTTACAGAGTAGGCATGTGACGTGAAAGAAGTGGATTGATTTCGATTTCTAGCAGTTGTAACCAGCGCATTGATGCAGGACTCAAGAATGCAACAGTAAAAATTAAGTCCTTTGTATTTGTATTCAAAAGCATAGGAGAAGTTGCTACATATGACCAACTGTCTTCTGATGCTGGAAAAGACAAAGTATGGTTACATATCTTCTGTCGTCCATTTGCTTCTTCAATTAAAATTTCAGTGCCTACACTGAAGCTAGCACGAATGATTGCTACAGCCAGCCCCTTACTGACTAAATCGTTGAAATTCGGAGTATATGGTCCACCTAAAGACATAGAAAAAATGAACTTTGTAACAACAATCAAAATGATTATAGTTTGAATATAACTTAATCTGCGATTCATAAAAAATCTAATATCTTAAATCCTTTAGAACAAGAATGACAATAGATGCTCACATAGCAAAACATTATGAAGTAGTATAGATTATTATTTAAAAATAATAGCATATTAAATGGCATATTTTAAGATTTTTAATGTCATTCGCATCGCAGAAGTGTATATGTACAATCGATGTATTCATCTAGCTTAGAAAGTAGGCAGTCGTATATACTAAAACTTGATTATAAAGCTATCTCGAGCTCAACTTAGGGGTGTTACTTTAACTTTAAAAACACTTTAAGAAAGTATAAAGTTTAAGTTTAAAGTACCACTTTAACTTTAATTTTTAAAGTTAAGTTAAAGTAACACCTCTGACTCAACTCTTTAATATTTTAAATACAAAGGAAAATCCTTTGCTTTTTTTTTAAAAATTGTATGTTGTTAAACCTTCATAGTCTTATATCGACAATACTAACAAAATGACTTTACCAGTCACCGATCTAGCTTTGTTTTTCTATTGTAAGTGTCCAAAAGTTTTTGTAGCTCGTTTTTACGATCAACATTAATAAAAAATAATCTTACTTAAAGAAACTTTTTGAATCAATGCTGCTCTTGCATCTTTTTTTGCTGAATACACGCATTCATGATTGATTGAAGATTCACGTCGTATGATAAATCCATTTGCAGGTTGCTGAGTCCATGATTCCAAAGGTACTTGTGCCTATGAGAATTGACAAATTCATGAAGATCAATTATTTACTATTGTTATTCTATTACATTTTACTAACTGATCAATCTGGAATAAACGAAAAGAAAACTCTCATACAATATAAAACTTTTATGCAGCATGACTGTTAGTGAAAGATAGTAGACTATGTTATTTTGGTTCTTTTTGCAAAGATTATGTGCCCTTTGCAAGAAAAATAAATGAACCCTATCTCAAGTTTAATGGAACACTCTGATTGAAAAATAGTGACTAAAATTATATGAAAAATTTGTACAAAAAAACAACAATTAGGCTTTACCGCAGCGACCGAGTCATATCCTCCGCATGATGCATTGCCTCCATTGATGATTAAAGCACGAGCGTAACCTATCCTGCCATAAGGAAGGTGAGCTTTGTCGGCAGATAAGACCAACTCAAGTGAACATTTGCCATTTAGACACGTACTACCTATAAAGAAAAATTGCAAGAAATATGTGAATACATTTATTAAAAAAAGCAAATTTTTTGGTTTTTGGCACGCTTTGTTTTTTGCAACAGGATGTCAACAACTTCGTGACATGCTCTCACAACATTTAGGATATTATTTCAACAAACAAAGTTTTTCTTCTAATCGTATTTAGATAAGCCACGGAATAGAGAACTAATGCTAATGACATATTTATTGTAAAAAAAACTTGATAGATTGTTTACCTGTTAGATTCGCATGTGACATGTTCGCATATTGGAAACTGTTTAATCTTAAAGGATATTTATTGTTAGTAATTGAAGCAAAAGCCAATACACTTCCGTAGAATAAAGATTCGACGATTGTGGCGTGGTCAAGGTTAGCACGAGTCATATTACACAAATAAAAATATAATTTATGTAACTGAGCCCCATAAAACGTAATTGAGAATAGATTCGAGTATCGAAAACATACATGTCTTTCGATGCTCTTTGCACGGAAATCAACATAGGAGAAATTGGCATCGATTAATATACTATCTTCAAACATGATTGATTTACCGATAGATCGATGAAAGTTACTCATTGAGAGATCTACATGATCAAATATGATTAAATCCAATTGACTGAAAGAAAAGTCGGCACCAATGAGAGAGGTTTGATCGAATATTGTGTTGCTAATATTACAATATCGAAAATTAGCACCATTTAATGAAGCAGCAGTAAAATCCCAACCATCGATTTGTAGGCCTTCGAATGTAGCTTCATTCAAACTAATGCCGACTAGTGAAAGTTTTTTTCGTGTATGTAGAGCTGATGAACCACGGAAGTCGAGTTGGTTGAGTTGTGCACCAGATAAATCGAGTGCTTTATCACCGGTAGTCATCTGTTTAGCATCATGTAGAAATTCAATGAGTTGTCTTGATCGACTTGAGCCAAGTTGTCCTATCACATTCAATGTTTTTGCTCGAGCAAGTGCCGCCGTTAATGGATTTGAGTTGAGATATCCATCAGTTTTTTCTAGAAGATTACTGATTTCATTCATATACGATAATGACAGCTGTGCTTGGTACTTAATTCTTTCTTGTTCATAGCGTTCATGTTCGATTGCCATTTGCTTTTCATAGCGTTGTTGTTCAAGTTCTAGCTCATGCTGACGCTGCTCTTGTGACATGTTACGTTGCAGTTCAGCATTTAATTCGTCAGTTCGTCGTGCCAATTCGGCAATATGCAGATCAAGATCGCGACGCATAGCAGAAATGTTCAAGTCTTGATAGCGTCTCAGTTCATCCTCCTCACGTTGCTGCCTGGCTATCAATTTATCTTGTTCACGTTGCAATGCGGAGAGATTCTGATCTTGTTCTCGTAGTATACGTGCGAGTTCGCGATCTTCTAGACGTTGTTTATTAGCTACTCCTTGTTGATAGAATGTGATGATGACTGTGAATATACCAAGCGTGAGTGGTAGAATAAGATGAATAGCCATCTGGGTGAATCCATGAAGGGAAAAACCACAGCGAAGATTTTGATTTTTCTCAGAAATAGAATTTTCTGTCTTGGTCATAACGATGATGACAGAGTCAGTCATCGAGCTTTGCTCTCGAGTTGTAGGTAACATCACCATATAAGTCAAGTTTATGATTGTAAAAAAGAAACAGGGTTCGATAAAGTTCATTAATTCATCGGTAAATGGAAAACAGATGCTCGAAGTGTACCCATGTCAATAGTTCTGTTTAACAAACACAGAATATGAGAAAAAAAGAGTCAAGTATTAATTTTGAAATAAATGGTCGTATGGCGGTCACTCTTTCTTGATAGTATGTGTTGACAGAACTAATGTCCGTTTCAAAATATAAAGCGTCCCACTGTTTTTTGAATAACTCAAGAACGCAATCAGCTAGAGACCTGCGGCTTTCACCAATCGAAAGAAGAGACATGGGGCGTCTTTTTCTCCAATATCATATCAGACGGAATCATTTTGAAACCAGTCATTTCTCAATAACATCGAAAAAAAATGGTCTGTCATTCAGATGAAATTTTGACAACAAGTAAAAAAATTTGCTTCAAAATTAAAAGAAATTCATAGTTTTCTTGCGATTAAATAGACGATTTTATTTGCTAAATGTTAGAATGCGGTAAGATAATCATTCGAATTATATCCTGGAGTATAGATCCGAAGTCCCTCTATCTAGATCATATGTCAAAAGGAAAATTTCTTCAGAATGCCGGGTCGTTTTCATGCATTTTTTGCAATGTTTTGCAGAAATGATTGATTCTAAAATGATTTTGTCGGATACAATATTGGAGAAAAAGACGTCCCCCTGTCTCTTCTTTCGATTGGTGAAAACCGCAGATCTCTAGCTGATTGCGTCCTTGAGTTATTCAAAAAACAGTGGGACGCATTATATTTTGAAACGGACATTAATATTTTTTATGGATTTTCTCTTCATTTATTTGTTAGAAATTACCACAAATGTTTAGCAACATTATTCTAGACAATCTCTCCGTCAAATAATGTTAAAACTAAAGAATATTCTTTCATTATGCTGAATTATTATGAAAATCTGTCAAATAGAAATCAATTAATCTGAACTATTTTACATCAGTTAACTCAAAAACCCAACTTATTCTAGACATGATAGATTCTAAAAAAACAAATTGTGTTTGACTTGTATTTGCATTTTACTATAACAAATCAAGAAGAAATATCCCGCACTATTGCATGAGTGACAGAACTAAATGACATATGTTTGTTCAATATCGAATGCTGTTTCATTCATTGATTTGATATTTACAACGGACTTGTCTACATAACATCTCGATTGACATGTGTAAATATAATTTTAATAGAGCCGAATGCTAAGTATTTCTAAAAACAATGCAGATCATCACATAACAAGTCATATTATGTTCATATCAACCTGTACTTTATTTCTTCAGTTTGGCTCTATATGGATCTTCTGTTTTTTAACAGTAGCAAGTTCCAAAATTCAATGCAAACAAACTATGGAACCAATTGAATTATTGGAACCGATTACTTTTAATTCTTTCATTTTCACAGAACCGTTCGAAGATCTGACAACGTATTCTAACAACTATTGTACTTTGACAGTTCGCATTGATTATCAATCACATATTGTGCGGATTGTCTTGTCCACGCGAAACTCCTTTGAAGAAACAGAACAGTATGCTTCTCTTATTAGAAATATTGATTTGAAAAGAGGTGCATCCGTCAACGAATATATCTATATATGTTCTACAATCTTATGCAATTTTAACTACTTGAATGATAGTCTTTACACTGGTGAACTTAACTGGTTGCTGCGCTATAAGCATTACTTGAATGCTTCTCTGCAATCACGATTGTTATTGTTTAAAGAGAAACATGATAACACAAGTGATCTTCAGTGTCATGAAAATGATAAGAAGAAAGTCTTGTGTAATACAGGTGTCTGCTATGCAAAAGATCACCACTCTCTTAATATTTACACACGACATTGTGAGACACGCTTTAGAGACGAATCGGATCGTCATCGTTTAAAAGTCGACATGTTTGTATATTCAAAGTCACAAAGTCGAAAAATATGGACTGTTGCGTACGCATGCAACATTAATTTATGTAATAGCTGGGAAATATTTAGTCAAATACACGAGTTTCTTAATCTGTCTGATGATGGATTGAATTTAGTTTGGCCGACAAATGTCACTAAGTTCCAAACAACAACGCGATCTACAACAAGCATGAAACAACCTTTTACATCTTCCATCATCAAACAAACCATATTGTCTACAGCAGCATCTCGAAATTTTACCTCCATTGATGTCATCAATGTTTCTGATTCGGTGTTCTCCATCACAAGCGCCATAACAATGGCAAACATTTTAACTAGCAGAGATAATATAAAAGAAGAAACATCAGCTTTAATGAACACCGCCCTGAACATCTCTTTATGTAATGAAACATCATCTATGTCATCTGTGAATAGTAGCACTTATCAAGTTAAGATTGAAATATTCACTTTTATATGTTTCTTCATTATCAGCTCACTGCTATAACGTGGCAAGATTCGAGTACAATGTATCCGTATGAATCAGCGTGACGTTTTCTTTTTCACAATTTATTCTTTGACATTATATTAGTTTTCTCTTGTAGACTATATGCGCAGCAGTCTACACTTAATAGAATCATACAAAAATAGTGACATATGCGACAAGAGATTAATAAGTTCTACCGCTAACACTGACTTCTATATGATAAATAATTAATGGGTTTATATCATTGATTCGTTGTAGTTTTAAAAGAGTTCAGGTGAAAAATATATTTGATATGTGTGGATGTGGGTGTTTGGGTGCGGGTGTGGGTGGGTGTGGGTGTGGGGTGTGAGTGTGGGTGTGGGTGGGTGTGGATGTGGGTGTGGGTGGGTGTGGATGTGGGTGTGGGTGGGGTGTGCGTGTGGGTGTGGGTGTGGGTGGGGTGGGTGTGGGTGGAGTGTGGATGCCATGTAAGAGCTTATTTCTACCACACACCAACACCAACACCCGCACCCACACCCACACCCACACCCACCTCCACACCAACACCCACATCCACACCCACACCCACACCCACACCAACACCCACACCCACACCAACACCCACACCAACATCCACATCCACACGCACACCCACCATCAACAATTGCCGTTTGTCTTCGAATTCATCTTGTAGTTTTTGTTGATATTCACTAAGGAATGTATTAATGATTAAAAATAATATTTCATTTCCAAGGAATAATCCATAGGTTCTATGCCAGCTCTCAATACGATTTCTTTTTCATAGAATTGGATTATATTTGTTTTTCTTCTAATTGCTCTTGGAATATTTTAAGACGTTGTTAGATCATGACTTCAGATCTATCATATGTATAACAGATAGAATTCTTTTCAGTGAGAGATTGAGATATTCGTTGTGTCCATATTAGGGGTGGCACTTTATCTTTATTATACTTTGAAAAAGTAAAGTAAAGTAATATAACCAAGCTAATTTTATTATTGATTTATCACCTCATTATCATGCATTGATAAAGTTACAATATACTAAAGTTTATATGAAACCCTTTATTTTAATAAATAAGTGCAAAATAAAACAAAAACTGCAAGTGTGTCATATTTTAATATTTCAGTCTCGTTTCTTTTGATGTACGTATATAATAGAAAATGGTTTTTATTTCAATAGAGTTAATTCATTTAGTGAAAATAAGTTATAAAGGCAGCTTATTCTATTTCTACTTATTTCACAAACGTTTGGCATAATATTGCATAATATGATCGCAAGCTATGTGATTTTCTCTTGTGATTTGGAAGTTATCTCTGGAATACTTTATCATTGCGCTGCCTAAAATGTATATTACTCGGTTTTGAATATACTTTGACATATAGTTGAAATATATCCCTACTCTTTAGATGTAACACGTTAGGAGAATACCCAGGTTATATGAAGAACACAAAAGGATATGGGTGTGTTGCAGTGTTCGACATGGATAACTTTTTTAGTGATCCGACCCGACCCGACCCGGTTGTACTATAGTCCGACTCGACCCGACCGGAGGATAAGAATTTGTTTCAAAACATGACCCGATCTGAAGGCAATTTTTTCCTATATGTACATATCGGTTGTGCTTAAAATTGTTTTTTTCTTTCACCTATCATGCATATATATATATCAGTCGATCGCTTTTCTTTCTTTTGAGCAATTCAATTTGTCAGTTCCTTGGTTTTTATTTTATTGCGCATTTAAAAAAATAATGACATGTCCTTGATCTTTTCTCGGTTTTTATGTATCACTGATATTGCATAGTTAGGGCAACAAAATCATCTGATAATACTTCAGCGTTTTTCTGCATTCATTTATATCATGTACAGGATTTGAGACTATTATATCTCTAGATAAAATATTATATACTTACTATAAATGCTCTTAAGATATCAATGGTGATGGAAAATGATGAAATAACACAAAAGATGATATCATACATGCTGCTTTGTTATATCTAATTGTTTGTTGTGAGATCACAGAACTTATAAACAAAAAACTAACAGGATTTTCGTTTCTGAAAAATACATATCTGACCCGACCCGAGCAGATCCGAAATTAAAAAATTTTTCCTGCCCCGACCCGAGTCGAACACTAGTGTGTTGGTGTGGATGGAGTATGTGGGTGGGGGTGGGGGTGTGGGTGTATATGTAGATTTTGGAGAATAAAACACCCACCCACACCCACATCCACATCCACATCCACAACCACATCCACATCCACAACCACCACTCACACCCACCCCAAAGTAGACTTATACCTTTTTTTTGGATGTGATATCGAAATTCTTTGGTAAGTTCAGTCTTACTGATTTGACATTTTACGCAATAGGTAAGAATTCTGTTAAAGCGTCATAGCTAATGCAATTTGTAGTCTTATTTTTTTTATGGATATTGATCGAGGACACAGTAAGAATGTAAGAGAAAGCAAAATAAAAGTTGAACTCAATAAGCATTAATTGACCACAGTTCGATCTGTAGTGTGTGATGTCATTTATCGATTCATATTGTATCTTGATTGCAACATGTATTTGATCAAAATTTTTTGTCCAATATCAATTTATTCTACACAGATTTCTAATACCATAACAATCTAGAATTAATATTTCAAATAGAATAGTAAAAAAAAGATTTACATATAGTGGTAGATGAAATATAATTTTTGATCTAGATATAAAATAGCTCATTTAAAATACGTATGAATGAAATTGAGGTCATCACCGGATGAAAAAGTTCTTAATTGAACGAGCAACATGTAGTCCTAGTCGTTGAGGGTCAAGCTTGTTTGAATCATTGGGTACCACAGTTAGATAGCAGACATGAAATAGATTAGAGACAGCAAGTAATTTTTCTTTACGAATTGTCTTCTTTGTTGAATCTTTTCCAATGTCGGGATAGACACAATGATATCCTGATGAGCATTGACTATTGGATTCAGTTGCTACCAGTATCGATTGTCTATTAGTGATATTTGATGGTTGAAATACGAATTCATTTTCAACCAAATGTGGAAGCATAATGAAAGTAAAATAGAGAATTTCTTCATCAAACTTCAATCGTTCTGATAGATTGTGTCCAAATAAATACCAATCATATGCAAGTGTTAAATAGAGAATTTCTTCGACTGTAAGTGATTGATGAATACAACCATCAGCCCATAATGATAACCGAAGAAGAGATATAAATAATGGTGTTCGATCCCAACCTGATAGACAATGAATGAGAATACCACATTTATGTGTTTCAAGTTGATAAAGTATTATTTGTAAGTAGTTCTTTGTAAGTTCAACAGAATTCCATGTTCGCCAAAATGACCAATCAGTGTATAGACATGACGAAAGATGAATAGGTATTTCAAGTATGGCATCATTTTTTGGTAGAGACCACTTGTAGAACATAAGTTCAGCATTATATTTTACTGTGACTAATTCTCGAAAATGTTCACATCCAGGATAAGGAAGTAGTATCATTTCAAATGATCCATATCGATTGTACTTATCGAATTTTTCTGATCCTGTAAGTTTCATACCAAATAGAGTATATTTCTTTTGTACCATTAAATTTACTATTGAACCGACATCATATATTTTTAATAGATCGATATCAGCACCGCGAAGTTCATCATAGATAGTACGTTGTTCAGGTTGTTCAACATTATTAAAAGTATCGTCATTATCAATTGTTAGAGTACGATCGACGGTCGAAGGATTGACTACTGATTGATTTCGAGTTCCTATAAAACGATCCATACTCGATCGAGAATATATTTCAGCCCAAGACGAGAGAGTAGATGATCGACATATGTATTTTCCATCGACAAATATAACAGGTGCAACAAAACGTGATCGACATCGAGCAATACGTGATCGAACGAATAAATCACGAATATTAACTGATGATTGAATTTTTGAAGTTTGAACTTTAGACCATTTGTCAACAACAGGTACAGAAATATTATGTGGATAAGACAATGATAATTCACCATTCGTATTCAAAATTATTTCACATCTATAATCTTGTTCGAAAAGAGTTCTAGCATTTTGTTCAACGATGATATTCATTTCACAGCGTTCTTTGGCATTGTATTGCTGTTGTGCAGAAATACGAAGAAGATTAATAATATCATTCGTAGATATTGATCCACATGGTGACAAATCTCTGAATTCTTCCATTTATACGTCCAATAATCTTGTAGTAAGCTACCACTAAGGAAATTTATCGATAAACAACTATTACACAATACGTGTTGGAATTTTTATTACTTTTATGATGTTGTAACAGAAGAAAAAAACCTATGCAGAATGAATCATTCATCAAACGTTTATCAAAAAACATTGCTTAAAACACCATCACCTGAAAAGTATCACGGTGAAGAAACTCGGATTGGTAAATAAAATCGACATACTATAGAGACACGTTTTCTTAATCAAACAGAAAAAAAGGAAGAGAAAGAAAGAACTGTTTCTATATTAAAACATTCTATAGTTGGAAAAAAAGACTCTTGTAATTTATCGTTACAAGTGACTTAACGAATAAAATTTGTTATTGAGCACATGCGACAAATGTGGCAAAGACTGAGGAGAAAAACTATAATAGCCGAATTTGCCAAAATCAGCAATCGCATGTTGCGTAATAATAGTATTGTGTAAATTATAAATCATTAAATCGAGAGGAAATATATAAAATAAATCTTATTAAATAAAAACTAAATGTAATGAGGTTAAATTTATTGAGGAGGGGGGGGGGCCCTCTCAGAAACCAACTTTGTTATTTTCTCATCTGATTTTCAACTAAAATTTGAGAGAATATTAGTCTTGACTAGAATAGATTATGGTTAAAAAATCTCTCCCAAATCTCAAAGATATGCACAAGTTCTAGTCAATTCATTACCCTTTATGCTAGCAAAGGTTTCACAATGGGGATACTAGCTAAGTATGTTGGAGTAGTTTTTAAATTGTAGAATGCCCTCAGAGCTGGGTCGTAATAGAGTCCGATTTTTGAATTTCCCTTTGTTTGATTTTTAAAAATACTTTCTCGAAAAAAATTTTCAAATTCCAAGCGCTAATAAATATGAAATATCTAGGCTTTTTATTTCAGCAAGAGAGAAATTCAAAAATCGAGCGCTATTACGACCTAGCTCTAGCTGCCTGCTATATAATAAAAAAAATTATCCCTTCTCTATTGAGTCGTTATTAAGAAATCCTTGCCCGCGTAAACGGTATATCCGAAAAAATTGATTTTGAGAAAAACGCTAAACAAATTTTCGAACTCGATTTTTTCATTCAAACTCTTTAGATTCTTTTTTTTTGTTTGTACGTCAATTATATATATATATCAATGTTCAGGTGTCTAGAAATATGTGATCCTTATCTTAACTGTTAGTAGGCTCGTAATGATTAATAAAAAAACCGCTTTGGTCAGCGCTAATGCCACTGAAACGGCAGTTTTGTAAAACTGAAAAACTTGAAAAAACCGCGAAAAAACATGGTAGTAGGACCCAAGTTTTAGTCGATTAGCCCGTCAAAATCTGGTCATTTTGTGACAAGCTGTGTATATATATATATTCTGAAAGAGTAGACTTCAGTGCATCTTCCTATGATAAAAACTCAACTTCGAGTTTTCTTCGAAAAAATAGGTTTGATGAGAGGGGACCCCTCAATACAAAGAACTTTCTTTTATTAACTGCTCTTTCCTATTAGCTTTTCTTATGAGTTATCCAACTTAGGGCTGATACGCTGCTAAGACGATCGAAGTAAAATATTGTCCATACTAAAAAACTTACATATTAACGTGTACATAAATGCTGAAAAAATCAAAAAGCTATAGAAATCATTGCAAAAAAATCAATTTTGAGAGGCGCATCTTCTGAATTGTCTTTCGGTTCGTTTGTCGAATGGAAGTGTTTTAATAGAGTGGGTCTTCTAATGTGTCAAGGGCTTTACTAGTATTTAGTCTATCACGTCTCATAGTGGTAACCTATGAAATGTTTTCGATGTCGTTTGCATACCAGTCAATAAGAAGGAAAGATAGCTCTGAAATGTAGAGGAAGATATGTACTCAATGCAGTCTTGATTGTAACGGGTACCCATAATAAATGGCCGCACTTTGCATTGCATACTTTAATTTCAAAATATGTATTATTAAAAAAACAAAATATATCACAAGATGCAGCGTGAAAAGCTCTTCAATCTAGGCAGTAGAGCTTATTTTAGTTGCGTACTTTTTCTTTTCAAAACTATGTACGACCAATTTTCGCCAATGTGAAAGCATCATTTTTTTTCAACATGGACGAGAATTTTTTTTTTCTTATTTCATCTATAAAATAAACTGCTCTGTGCAAATTGTAGAGTTTTTCACGCTGCATCTTTTGGTATATTTTGTTTTCTTTACGAAAGCATATTGGGTGATAAAAAGATAAGATAAGAAAAACGGGTGTCCCGTTTGTATAGAAAAAAATGATTGTTTTTACAACGGCCAAAATTGATCACACAGAATTTTGCGTTTTTTGAAAACAAAAACTACACAATTAAAGTAAGCTTTAGTTTGTAGATCGTAGCGTTTCACTCTGCATCTTGTGGTATATTTTGTTTTTTTCAAAATAAAACATATTAAGTGATAAAAAGATGAAATAAGAAAAAAGAAATTTCTCGTTCGTGTAGAAAAAAAATGAGGTTTTCGCAAAGACAAAAAAAAGACCTTGTAGAGGGTGGGTGTGGCTGTGGCTGTGGCTGTGGATGAAGCAAAGAATCACACTCACACCTGCACCCCACATCCGACAATTCAAATAAAAAAAAAGTGCGGCATTCTCGTAGAAAAAAATTCAAAAAAATTATCCATGCGAAAATCCACAAATTAGAGAGTTTCTTACTCTAATAATCGATTATTTTTCAAAATCACTGTAGCCAACAAGAGGTTTTAGACTTTAATTATTTTTTAATTGGTGTAATGATGCTAGGATGCTCTTATGAGTTCCGCATTTTAGCATTTCCGAGATTCTACTAAAAAAACTCTTTTATCCGTTTGCTGCCATATATAAACCATTCCGTTTGACTTAGAAAGTCATGAAATTTTGGTATGAAAAAAAATTTGAAAAAGACATTCGTTTCGTCTTTTTCTTTATGTATTTCTTTTCAATCATCTCATGCATTTGATATGAATAAAAAAAGAATTGCTGGAATCTTTCCTCTTATCATTAAAAAACAGTTAGTACAACAAACAATCGATCCTCTCATATAAGAATTGATATGTGCCAAACGAAAACTTAAGAGAGAAAAATATGCAAAATACTTCCGTTTTTAGCGAATATTTAAATTTTTCCTGAAATTTATTGCTCATTCTCCATTTTTCTGTGTTACTCGTATGATCTTCTCTTATGAAAATCGATAGCAAACAGTACTTTTAATTAAAATCTGCAGTTAATCTATGATTGTGTTTCGTTACTCTTAGTAATTTTGATTGGCAACAACACTTAA